GCTTGTAGCTGTTGGATGTCAGCGATCTGGGACGGTGAGAGGTGGTCCCCACAAGCGGCCAGAGGGCGGGATTGCACTTTTACATTCGCCTCTGGCCCGAGATCCTCCTCCCCACTCACCACCGTCGCCAGCATCGCTGACTCCACCTCATTCCATTTTTTAAGGAGGTTGAGGTGGTATGTCTGATGTGCTCCCCCCCTATCTGAACGAATGATTTCATAGTTAAGATCATTAACTCGCCGTGTAACCACAAACGGTCCTTGCCACTTGGCGAGTAATTTCGAGCTGGATGTGGGAAGTAATACGAGCACTTTATCTCCCGGTGCAAATTTACGTAGCTTAGCCCCCCTATTGTACAGCCGACTTTGTCTGTCCTGAGCCTGTAACAAATTCTCCATAGAGAGCCGCCCCAAAGTGTGGAGTTTTGTTCGCAGGTCCAGGACATACTGAATTTCGTTTTTGCTATTAGAAGGTCCGTCCTCCCAAGCCTCCCTAAGGACATCCAAAACCCCGCGGGGCTGGCGTCCATAGAGAAGCTCAAAGGGGGAAAACCCCGTGGAGGCTTGGGGGACCTCCCGTACAGCGAACAAGAGGGGTTCCAACCACTTATCCCAATTTTTGGCGTCTTCCCGCACGAACTTACGAATCATGGATTTTAACGTGCGATTAAATCGTTCTACCAGGCCGTCTGTTTGTGGGTGATAGACGCTGGTGCGAATCGATTTAATGCCCAATAATTCATATAGTTCGCGTATCGTACGTGACATAAACGCCGTGCCCTGATCGGTGAGAATCTCTTTTGGGATTCCCACCCGGGAGATTAATTGAAACAGCGCACTCGCAACGCTTTTAGCCGAAATATTGCGTAGTGGGACTGCTTCAGGGTATCGCGTGGCATAATCCACCAGGACTAATGCAAAGCGATGCCCCCGTGCTGATCGTTCTAATGGCCCGATGAGGTCCATGCCAATTCGCTCGAAGGGGACCTCGACTAACGGCAGGGGCACAATGGTGCTTTACTATGGGCCGGAGGGTTCACTAACTGACATTCATGACAAGACGCGCACCACCTGCGCACATTCTCATGAATGCCCGGCCAAAAGAATCGGGCCATTAAACGATTTAACGTGGCTGTCTGCCCGAGGTGTCCAGCCATCGGATTAGAATGAGCCGCCTGGAAAAGCATTTCCCGACGGCTTTTAGGTACTAACAACTGGGTTGTATCTTGCTTTGTCTGGATGTCCTGAGTCACCCGATACAACCTATCTTTAATCATGGCAAAATATGGGTACGTGAGCGGCTGATCGGGCCGCACCGGCTGCCCGTCGATGACCTGGACCCGTTCAAACGCGTTTTTTAGCGTATCATCTCGGGACTGTTCCAGAGGAAAATCATCACGGACCGAAAAGATGGGTATCTCGGCCCCGTTCCGTTCCTCTGGCTCAGCCGCCGATGGTCCCGGAACAGCTTCGCCGGCCTGAACAGTCGCCCCCCCCCGGTGCCGTTGTTTTTTCCCAGGAGCACCCGCACACAAACAAGCCAATAACGATTGAAACCCCGGCCAATTGGTACCCAAAATCAGCGGGTGCCGGAGGTGCGGATTAACTGCCACCTCCACGCTATGTTTTTGCCCCCTAAATCGGATGATGACTGGCACAACGGGATACCCCATCACCTCGCCGTGCACACACCGCACCATAACCTCGCGGCTCTTATCCAATGCCCCTGGCTGAATCAAGCTTTGGTGGATGGAGGTCTGGTTACAACCTGAATCCACCAAAGCCTGACACGTAACCCCCTTAATACTCACGGGTATCTGATACAGCCCAGTCTGATCGGGGGCAGCCTGTGGCGCATAGGGGACCCGAATGAAGGTGTCCACCTCCATCAATGGACACCTGTCGATAAAGTGCCCCGGGTCCCCACAACGCCAACAGGCCGGCCCAGGCCTCCCCGCCACTCCGGCGGCGGGAAGCGGGTCAAGGGATTGGCGTTGGGAGAGCGCGGGGCCAGCGGACGCCGGAACGCTCCCAGGCAGGGATCCTCCCCGAGGTGGAGCACGGGGCGCCTCCGTGCTCGGGCCGGACCTCCAGCGGGGTGCTGGTCGCGGGGGAAATCCACCTCGAGACCTGGGAGCGGGGACAGGGCGAGAGGGAGAGGGAGAGGGGAGAGAGAGAGAGAGAGAAGACGATGGTTGTGGCTCGCCGACCCCTGGGCACGCCACCAGCTGGTCCTCCGCCAACGTGATGGCCTGGTCCAGCGACGTCGGCCGGTGGCACTGGACCCACTGAGCGGTTTTCTTGGGTAGCTTGGTGATAAACTGCTCCAGCACCACCAGCTCGATGACTCCTTCGACGTCGCGGCCCTCGGCCACCAGCCATTTGCGGCAGGCGTCCCGGAGCTGCTGTGCGAAGACGAAGGGTCGGCCGACCTCCCCCAGCTCTAGGGAACGGAACCGCTGGCGGCTTTGCTCCGGAGATCGACCGACCCGCTGCAAGATGGCACGCTTGAGGTCCTGGTAGACCAGGAGGCTGCTGACTGGCAGTTGTTGGGCGGCGAGCTGCGCCTCCCCGGACAGTAGTGGAATGAGGCGCAGCGGCCAGTCAGTTTCCGGCCACTTCCCCGCCCCGGCCGTCCTCTCAAAGAGGTCCAGGAAGGCCTCCGGATCGTCGAGCGGCCCCATCTTGTGGAGGGCTGGGGCCGCGGGCGGGGAGCGGACCCCCTGGTCCACCCAGCTCCGGAACTGCTCGCGGGCCTCCCGTTGTTCCTGGAGGAGCGCGTCGAAGCGTCGTTCCTGCTGCTCCTCCATCTTCAACAGGGCTGCTTGGTGTTGCTGATGTAAGCCCGCGAGCCCCTGGATGATCTCCGCAAACGGCGAAGACAGAGGATTCCTGGCGGCGGCTGCTTCTTCCATCCCGGGTTTTGGCACCAGTGTGGTATGGCTCAGACGATGTGATGGAAGAAGGCAAAGGGGTCGGCAAATACTGGAGCTTGTGTGCTTTATTCAGACAGATCAAATAAAAATACTCTTTCCACAGCGACTGCGCGCTTCAACGTAACATCAACAAAATAATATCACAGACTCGTTCCCGCTGATCCACAGCTTCCTTGGGTTTCGGACAGTTCCTCTGTTCACAGCTTTACACAGCGTCGGCACACAAGCTCCAGACTCTCTCAACAGAAGCGTCTCACTGAGCCGCTTATGTACTCTCCCAACGCCAATCACTGCAATCACAGACAGGTGTTTATCATTTGCACTTGACCCGCTTACTTCCCGCTCGACTCCTCCCCCGCTCTCCCGCTGCAGACAGCGCTGAACCACGCCCCCCATACCACACTGTTGCTTCCACGCAGACACTTGTAGTAGGGAACATCCACCCCATTGATGCTGGTGCTACGCACCACCCTGTACATACTCATCTCTGGAGGATCTTGTATGCACTCAAGGTGACGCTGCTGGCCTTCCCACACACTATCTATTGCTTCTGTAAAGAAATAAGAGCAAATATTTAAGCATTATACGGTGTCAACACAGTACATGATAACCATAATAACTTCCCCATACACGCTATGTGTTTATAATACACGCCAACAGTGGATTACAATATATAGATCATATAGTTTACCTGTGCCTCAAATGCCTTGTGCTGTGTTTTCAATATGGAAAATGCTTGTAAAAATGTTTTTAAATGTTTGCATCAGATTACTTACCTGCTGACTTGAAGAGGGGGATTCCACTTTCATCCAGCCCCGCCGGACCTTTCAGCTCATCAATGGCTGTCTGGACAAGAAGTAAAGTCTCCTGAACCCCAATCGTGACTCTATGAACATGGTGCTTCAGCTGCTCCCGCACCACGTAGAGTCGCACCATGTCTTCATCGGTCACCGCGTCATAAGCCGGGTCCTTTGCTCGGACCGCCTTAATGAGAAGCTCCAGGTCTGCGCGGTTGTAGGCCAGCACGGCTCCTGCTAGGGCAGACTTGAAGACTGCGTATTTGGAGTGGCTCTCGGTACGGATGGCTGCATCGAAGCGATGTATCCAATGAAATATATCTAAACGCACAACCATACCCTTGTCCACCCACGTATGGAACAAGGTCTCCAAAGCGGTCGGGCCTTGTGCGCGACAGCACCCACGGTCAACGTATAGGATATGAGAGACAGGTTGATTGGCCTGCTCGAATCTCTCCATCACCCCCTGGCACATGGGTCTCAGAGACTCTGTGGATTCTTCACAGGTAAGAACAAATGAGACAATCTGAGATTGCTCATTTCCTATACTTGTAAACCACTCCGCTGAGCCTTTGCCCTCTCCACTCAGCTTCTTAACCACCTGCGAGTCACAAGGAACACCATTCCAGATTGAAATTTTACATTCTTTTTTTTCTGTAAGTGTATGCCTATTCAAAAATGTTTAACTTCTCTATTTTTTGTTTTTTATACAAGCGGCTAAATCTATTCTCTTCATTATTAGTCTTTCTTTATTACATGTTGTCTGCACTATGTTTGTACTTCTGTACTGTAAGCTCCTAACACCAAGACAAATTCCTTGTGTGTGCAAACACACTTGACAATAAAGGTTTCTCTGAATCTGATTCTAAATGTCACTTTTTGTGTGTTTACAGAAGAAAGAAGGTGGTCATACAGGTTTGGCTAGTGGAGTAAATGATGAATGATGTAAGTGATGATGTTCTAAAATATGTTGTATACACAATATATTGCTTTATGTACCTTTTTAGTAGAGTCCATTTTAAGCACGGTCCCAAATGTGGAGAGAATCTGGGTCCTATAATCCTGTACGTTCTTGGCCTCTGCCAGCAGGAAGGCATAACGGAGCAGACGAGCAGAGGGAAGCTCTCTTTGAGGAGGTGGAGCCTCAAAAGTGTGCCCCAAGGCTGGCACGATCCCCCCAGGCTTCACCAGAGTCATCAAGAGGGTGGTATACAGATCCTTCCTGTGGAGATAGTCTTCCATGTGGTTCTCTTGAATCTGGTGTTACCCTCGGTCCGGTCCCTCAAAAGCTGCAGATGTTCTTGTCCACACCACGTCTATAAAGTTTGATAATCAGCATGTTAACCGAGATGTAATTGCTGTTACAAGAGGACACCAGCTATTTTTCAGTATTCTTACCTAAATGTGAGAATGGCTGGGAACATGGCTTGGTGAGCCTCGCTGAGTTGGCAGAGGATAGCATTATCCCATGCTAACCAACGACCCACCTTTCCACCTTCACCTTTCCTGCCCGCTTTAGTGCATGGTCCACAGCAAAGGACCTCTGTCAACATGGTGTACCAATTGGACACATCGCAGATGTGACGAACCTGCAATAGCAGTAGAACATTGTTATTTGAACCTTGAATGTGTTTACATGAAAATCAATGTTGTAAAAATCTACTGTTGAACTGACACTCGAGTAATAACAACAACCAATCCAATTACAGACATGTCGAACCTTTGTGTGGTAGCCAGACTTGTAGAGGTGAACGTCCTTTCCTCTACCCACGCATTCTTCACCACGGGGGCACTTCAGCGAGTATCTCCATACCCCAACAGGCCACCAGACAAAGATGCGGCTCCGAAAGAAGAGGTTTGGTGATGGGACAGCGCCACTAACGTAGCCTGGAGGATCAGGAGGGTAGAACCACATCCGGTCTGACTTCATTACCCGTCGCCTCTTCAGCGTTCCAGTACTCTGCTTGTACACCTGGACGTGGCTGAAGAGCCCTCTCTCTGTGTCGTCCTTCACCCACGAGAGGTCCGCTGGAGAAATGCAATTAGCATTTTCCCATAGGCGTACCCAACCCTCAAGCTCAACCTGCATTATACATCAACACAGTAAATCACTATAATAATAAAAATTAATGTTGGATAATTTTTCACATGAAATGAATTACTCACAGGGGAGTCATTCAGACATGGTTCTCCCGAAGAAGACTTCTGACTCAGATGGCATGAAATATGAAATATGCCGGTGGGAATGGAGGTCTGTGACGTGGCAGTGGAAAGGACAGTGCACGTGGACATAGCAGGCGGCATGGCAATGGCCGTCTCTGATGTGGACGTGGCTGTGGACACAGGAGCAGATGTGGATATGGCTGTGGAGTCGGACGCAGCAGCAGATGTGGATGTGGCTGTGGACGCAGCAGCAGATGTGGATGTGGCTGTGGACGCAGCAGCAGATGTGGGCGTGAACGATTGTGATGTAGACTCAGATCGAATCACCTCTAATATATGGCTGTCGTCCAGCCATGAAGGATCATTGCTGGGAGATTTTGACTGTGCATTAAACAGACTTTTAGGTTACACTTTATTTTGATTGTCACTTTAGACATTCAACTAATTATAAGTAACTTTTCAACTACATGTCAACTAACTCTCATTAGAGTATTAGTATATTATAGTAGACTGTCAGTAGACTGATAGGTTATGGTTAGGTGTTAAGGTTCGGGTTAGGACAATAAGTCTACTTGTAGTTGCCAAGTTACTTATAGTCAGTTGAATGTCTGTTGGGGCAGTGCCGATCCTGACCTCCCTGGGGCCCTAAGCAAAATTCTGCTAAGGGGCCCTCTACCTGACCCGTGACGCCGTGACGTGAGCTATGTAAACCATTTGCCAATGCTACACAGTCACACCTGACACTCAGTGCTCCAAATACAATCCTCCCTCCTTTAAACAAAACAGTCAAAGAACAGAATGAGGTTCAAACAAACAATATTTATTGAATATTGAATTGAGTATTTTCCATAGAATATTAAGATAACAAGTGAATATTATTAAGTAAGTGAAAATTAACGTAAACATAAATAAGAATAACATAATAAATTATAACCCTGAGCTTTGGCTTTTGGGATTAACTTTTGTTCTCTTGTGTTTTTTTTTTTTTTTTATGCATGTTGAAGCAATTTTTGATTTATGGTAATTATTTACTGAGGGATGTGCATCCATATTGACCAGTATGTCCAGCTAATCAACATTTTAAATTCAATATATATCAATAGTCAATCAATGTCAAATTGTCAATATTGCTTTCCATTTTGCATAATTAGTGCTGCTGCAGTTGTTTAGAATGTTTAACTACACATTGACTGAGACTAATCAGTGTCTTGTTTTAAAAGTATGTATGTACAATGTGTACTTTAATGATGAGTGCCATCATTTCCCGCCCATATATTGTACAGTATGTCCACATATATTTCTGCTTGAAAAAATGCGCGTTTCATTTCGTGCACGCGCATATGAACGCATGATAGCATAATAACACATGCGATCATCTTTTCCGAGCTGCAGTAAACAAACACCGTTGCACAACTTGCACTTTGTTGTTTATCAAAAACAAACGTAATAAATAATTGTATTTTACTCTCACTTTTGTCAGTCAGGCACAAAGAGAAGTGATGCAAGAGATGCACTGCCTGTCTGCCCAGCTAGGTTAGCAAGACCGAAAAAAACACAATAGAAATGTAAACTTAACTTTACTTTGCTGACTGACAGCAAATTTGGAGAGGAGGCAACACAAGTTTACCTGAATGTTGTTCCCGCAATTCACTCTCATGTTTTTTCTTCTTCCTCTTATCGTGACCAGAGGGATAGTTTCGCTTCATTTTGTCAACATTATTTGACGCGCTATGACATGAGGAGGGGGAGGCGGGGCCTTGAGTAATTTGCGGGGCCCTACGCAGCTTGCGTAGTGAGCGTATAGGGCGGATCGGCTCTGTGTTGGGGGACCAACAAAATAAAGTGTTAGCAGATATTAAGCAGACAGTCTACTAATACTCTAATGACAGTTAGTTGATATGTAGTTGAAAAGTTACTTATAGTTAGTAGAATGTCTAAAGTGGACTATCGAAATAAAGTGTTACCGACTTTTAAATTACACATGTCTTGCATAAAGAAAAAACTTTTTTTCGTTTGTTTGCTGATATGTATTCATAATAAAAAAATGTTTTCATTGCAGGCCACTTACTTGGTTATCCTTGTCATAAATGTACATCCTAAACCTTTTCATCTGAACACTGGTGATGTGTGTTACAGGTGTATGCAGCCACCGGCAGACAGAGCTGTGTGCCTTCTTGATCATATCCCTCTGACTGCTGCTGAAGTCGTTTGGCCTGTCATTCTGGGCAGAATGCTGGCAGTAGAGCTCCCACATCTCCTTAAAGGTATGATTTTCAAACCCTTTTTGCCCATATATACAGTATTCGATGTTGGCCTCCAGGACGATGGATATTTGAGGGAAGCTCTCAGCGTACTCTGCAAGGAAGTCCTTTATCCAGTGATGGTTAATCTTCTTAGGTTTCTTGGCAAGGTCTTCTCTGTGCCTGTCGACCAAACTGCAATTACACATATTATTTATATCAGCTGGTAAAAACTGCACACTGAAAACATAATTATACATTCACGAGTTCACACTTACATATAATTTTGAGTGAGTAAGATTCAATGCGTATTTGGCGTGCTGTCCGGAGGGAGGGCTCCGTGCTCGGAATTCTGCCCGAACCCAGAGTACTCCCCCCGTATGTAAGTGATTTTTTAGAAAGAGGAGTGTGCAGGACTAGGAGTGTGGAGAAGGGGTGGAGGAGGGATGCTGCAAACTGCCAATGGATCGAGGTAAGACTGCTGAGTCTATATATACCCTCTTATCATTGGTTGCTGATTGCTGATTGCCGTCCACTCGTGTTAATTATCTGAACGTGCTCCTCCCGAACTTAGTTATTAACAAAACTTCATTTCACGAGTTCACACTTACATATAATTTTGAGTGAGTAAGATTCAATGCGTATTTGGCGTGCTGTCCGGAGGGAGGGCTCCGTGCTCGGAATTCTGCCCGAACCCAGAGTACTCCCCCAAAAGGCTAAAGAGCAGAGGACAGCCGCCGGACTAAAGACCCCCCAAAGAGTGCCAAGAAATGGCGGGCTGGCATCTCGAGAAGGGCCTGGATGCTTGGTCAGGGAGGCCCGTGATGTTGGCTCACTGCCTGGACTGATGGCCCTTGTTGACTGCGAACAAGTGGTGGTNGAGACTTATTGATATAAATATTTTAATTACATTTTATTTATTTATAAAATACTTCTTCATTGCACAATGCACATTTCTTAATATTAAGCCTAATGTATTTTAAAATCACTGTTAGTAAAGATAGTATCAGTCAGCTTTAAATGCATCTAACATGTAAACATTCTCCATGTCTTCCCAGAACCAAATACTTTTTAATCCCACTGACAGCACACAGTTGGTTAGCAACAGTAGCACTCAGGTTCTCTTCTACAAGCTGGGTAGGAATTATTTATTTGTTACTGATTTACTATTTTAGTTGTCTGAATATAACAATGAATTCTGTTGCTCAGGAAAAGGAACATCTGGGATACTCTGCTCCTGAAATTACTGACAAGGTTGGCAGAAGAACCTTTCATCAGGTTACACATCTGTGTGCTGTTGTGATGTATTCTGCTCCGTTTTTGGCATTGACCTTTTGCAAATATGTCCCCATTCAGACCTTCAATATGGTGCTAGGTTCCCTGAGCCAGTCCATCTTCCACTATGACAGTATGCAGGCTCTTACAGCCACTTCAGCTGGGAATATAGTTCTCTGGGACAAGCAGACTGAGTCTGTCTCTTCTCAGCCCATAGTGAGGAAAGCCATGAAAATTGTCTTTCTCCAGAAGGAAGCTATCACCGTATTGACTTTGATTGACAGGTATATATGACACAGATACAGTTTATGGCAAATTTTTGCATTAATATTTTTCAAATAAATTCAAATAAGCTAACTGTGCTGCCACTGCAAGTTGCACCTATTACATTTACAGTTGTTGTATGTTATATTTTTGCTTTGCAATTTGTTGTTTTCCTGTTTGACATTATTTAATACCATTACACAATCTGTATACTTGTCTTCATATGTTCTCTGTCAAGTTTCATCGTTACAGGTGACGTGAGTGGCCAAATCAAATTCTATGATGGAAATCTCAGCTCATCAACTTTTACAATGAGTTTAGCTTGGATCCATCAGATCCATCTCCTTTTCCAAAGAAAAGCCTTCCACTAGCAGCCTGGGATATCCAAAAAGACTGCACACTGGATACCAAACCATTTGTCATAAGGTGAAAAATTCAGAAAGATCCAATATTTATTATGATAAATGTGCCATAACAAAATACTGAATAAAATAAAAAAAACTATGAGCAAGTCAGGATTATATTTGAATTATTGTTTAAAAGCAATTCAAGGTCAAAGAATTTATTGTCATATGCACAGTGAGGAAAAACAAGTTTCCCTGTACAATGAGCTTCTTTCTTTGCTGTCCACAATGAATGCCAAGACTAGTGCAAAGTACTTAAAAGAAGAAATAAACATATGCACAGACACACACACACACAAACAAAAATAATTTTAGAGAGAATTTTAGAGAGAAACATTACTTAGCAATTATTTCATTCAAAGATGTTTTGAAGAAAGTTCCAATAATACATTTTTGTCACATGTACCTCAGCAATAAGTGGAAGATACACAAATCATCAGTTAAAAGCATAAACTGCTAACAAGAGTGAAGTGTGTAGATTGGATGCATCATCTGCATAACAGAGTACATGTACACTCACCTAAAGGATTATTAGGAACACGTTAAATTTCTCATTAATGCAATTATCTAATCAGCCAATCACATGGCAGTTCCTTCAATGCATTTAGGGGTGTGGTCCTGGTCAAGACAATGTCCTGAACTCCAAACTGAATGTCAGAATGGGAAAGAAATGTGATTTAAGCCATTTTGAGCTTGGCATGATTGTTTTGTGCCGGACGGGCCTATCTGGATGGGCTACAACAGCAGAAGACCCACCCGGTACCACTCATCTCCAGTACAAATAGGAAAAGAGGCTACAATTTGCAAGAGCTCACCAAAATTGGACAGTTGAAGATTTCTGTTGAGACATTCAGATGGTAGAGGCAGAATTTGGCGTAAACAGAATGAGAACATGGATCCATCATGCCTTGTTAGCACTGTGCAGGCTGGTGGTGGTGGTGTAATGGTGTGGGGGATGTTTTCTCGGCACACTTTAGGCTCCTTAGTGCCAATCGGGCATAGTTTTTAAATGCCACGGCCTACCTGAGCATTGTTTTCTGACCATGTCCATCCCTTTATGGCCACCATGCTCCAATCCTCAGATGGCTACTTCCAGCAGGATAATGCACCAGGTCACAAAGCTCAAATAATTAGGGCCCAAGCCCTGAAAGGGCGAAGGCCCTATTGTTTTCCTTGCGATTATTTTTCTTCTCTATTATTAGGGCCCAAGCCCTGAAAGGGCGAAGGCCCTATTGTTTTCCTTGGGATTATTTTTCTTTACTATTATTATTATTATAATAATTATTATTTTACTACCTTTTGGGCACTTTTGGGGCCCTTAACGTGCTCGAAAACTCTTGAAACTTTGCACACGGGTCAGAACCCGCGGCCATCAGAGCCGGGCTGAAGCTGGTACCCGGGCGTGGTAGGGCGGCTCGTCAGCGCCCCCTGGAACGGGGTCCGAACACTTGGTCCATAACTCAAACACGCTTGTATGTAATAATATGAAACTCGGTACACATGTTGATCTCATCGTTTCATCTATACCTCGCGCTCTTACTTTTTACCCCAGCCCGACAGGAAGTCGGCTATTGAGGTTTGTTTGTAAAACGCTCGCAATGGAATGTCATATACTCCTCCTAGAGCTTTGATCCAAATTCGACGAAACTCGGTCAGCGTGAAGTCAAGACATTGAGGATGAAAGTTTGCGAGGGGATTTTTTATATCTCGAACGGTTTGTCCGTGGCGAGGAAACGAAATCATGGCGAGAAACGTGAAACAGGAAGTGTGTTATAACTTCAGCATACATTAACTGATCTTGATGAAACTTCAGCAGTGTGTTCGCTGTAAGAGGACGATCACATGGATGTGACTATTGTGAGTCAAAGTTATAGCGCCACCAACTGGCAGCAGGAAGTGTGTCACTTTCAAAATGCTTTGATATCACCCTTTTATTTTTACCCGATTTGCTTCAAACTTCATATGTATAATGTAAACATACGGCAGATGTAGACCTGTGAATGGATTCTTGATATCTTTGAAACTGTTGCCGTGGCGACGCATCAAACTTTACCCTTCTTTTAGGATGCTTTTAGGATGCTTTAGGGACCCTTAGCATGCTTCAAAATGCATGAAACTCGACAGACACATCACATTTATTAGCCAGTAGACATATGCAAAGTTTCAGAAACGGGCGTGGTGAGGGCTCGGTAGTGCCACCTTTTGACAAAAGTGGGGTTGTTAGTTTTAACTAGAGTTACAAAAATTGGTATGTATATTGTACTCCTCGAGCCGGACAACTTTCTAATTTACACTTATTAGCTAGGACCCAGAGAAAGTCAGATATTTTTGTTTGAATATGGTCACTCTGAGCTTACATGGGTCTTTGGCTGTCTTTGGCTGTCTGTGTGTGTGTGTGTGTGTGTGTGTGCCTGTGTGTGTGTGTGCAGGGGGAGGGGGCTTAACCATTTCACTGCTGTGTGTATGACCTGCATAAAGAAAATACATTTCTCAAGCCTGGTATTTTTTAAATAAGTTTTTATTTTTATTTTTTATAAGTAAAGGCATATAACTAGTTTAATTGTAGTGAATTGACAATAGTTTTATATAATTAGTTTATTAATCAGATTAACTTGGTCAATAAACTTGGTCTGAAAATTTGGTCCATAAATCAAACACACTTGCATGTAATAATATGAAACTTGGTACACATATAGATCTCATCGTTTCATATATACTTCACACTCTTACTTTTTACCCCAGCCCAACAGGAAGTCGACTATTTAGGGTTGTGTTTAAAACACATGCAATGGAATTTAAATTATTGCTCCTAGAGCACTGAACCAAATTCGACGAAACTCGATCAGCGTGAAGTCAAGACATTAAGGATGAAAAAGTGCCACGGGATTTTTGATACCTCGAACGGTTTGGCCGTGGCGAGGAAACGAAATTATGGCGAGAAACATGAAACAGGATGTGTGTTATAACTTCAGCATACATTAACTGATCTTGATGAAACTTCAGCAGTGTTTTCGCTGTAAGAGACCGATCACATGGATGTGACTATTGTGAGTCAAAGTTATAGCGCCACCAACTGGCAGCAGGAAGTGTGTCACTTTCAAAATGCTTTGAAATCACTCTCTTATTTTTAACCGATTTGCTTCAAACTTCATCTGTATAATGTAAATACACGGCAGATGTAGACCTGTGAATGAATTTTTGATATCTTTGATACTGTTGCCGTGGCAACGAAACAAACTTTAACATTCTTTTTTGATGCTTTTGGACTCTTAGCATGCTTGAAATTGCTTGAAACTCAACAGATACATCACATTTATTAGCCAGTAGACATGTGCAACTATGGCAAAAGATTAAAGTAATGTGAAAAAAGTAAACACTAAAAGCCTCATATCTTCTAAAAATGTAATTATACATCATTTGTTTCTAAATTAAATTATACAAATATTATAACTTCCCCAATTTTTCCCTTTTTTCATTTAAGAATTATGTTTACGTTCAAAAACAGCCAGAATTGTTGTAAAATTCATAAAAAAATAATAATCTGAGTCATACGTAGTGCTATACTGCCCTCTTGTGTTCAATATCAGGTAGGCCTATTGTGTATATTCCCACCGGTTAATCAACGTGTGACTCCGCTGGGACTTGGGAGCTTTTAAATCGCTTACTTAAAACCGAAAGTCAAAATACGGATGTCCGCACAAGACATTAATGGTGTGGAGTAGAGCGAGCATTTTAAATAAATTCCTATTAAGTAGGATTGAACTAAACAGAAAGAATGTTCACTCTGTTCTGCTGGTTCCTCGCTGGTGGATCATATGATTACTTTGTCATAATCTATGACAAAAATGCTATTATAAACCATATTAATAATAGATAATACACATTGCTCTTATTTTTAAAAAATACATTCATGAAAACAAGATAACAAAAATCATAAAAAGATATAGCCATGGCTGCTATAAATGTTTGAAATGCATAGGACAGATGTTTAATGACGCAGCAACATATAATTGAAAGGCAATTAATAATCTGTCATTACGTCACTGCATTATGATATTACGGCTCCAATACGGTGCAGCACAAAGCACTTATGTGCATCCCGAGCGGAGAATGATGTGCTTGAAGCCACATGAAGTTACAGCGCATTGAGTCCGTATTGAAAAGTTCAAAGCACAAAGGAAATACATATTTATGAACAGTGTATTATACATTATCTATCTATGCAATAGTTTATTGAGCCTTTTCTTTTAAAGGTTTTAAATTTCAGTTACTGTGTGCGTGAAGAACAATTATAGTGCTCTGACTCTAGTGTTGTGATCTAACCGACAGCGTCCGACACCCGGTAGAAAGTAACACGATTAAGTTACAGCAATAAAGTCCAGCAAGAAAAAGTTTCTTCATTCGAAAATATAGACCTTTAGACCTTTATCTTAAAGATCCAGTATAATAGGATTAACATTGAATCATCTTGAAGATCGTTTCATCATTGACTGTAACCGAATGTGACGTGCTGTTTGAATGCTGAATGGAGAATGACTGACAGGCGCAGAGAGGGAAAAGTTTGTGTTCTTGAATTTAATGACTTAAATATTAATTTCTATATCACATAATAGCTTCAGAACACTAATAATACAGTACACAAAAACTTTATGGTACTTTAGAAAGTTTTTGTGCCTTTGTGCCTAACATAGAATAGTATATGCACAATATAGAATTTGAATCAGCCTCGTCAAAGATGGCAGTGTCAGAGCCGATACCGATCCTGAGTATCTAATCGGCGCACTTCTTTTCAACAGTCAAATTGAAATTGAAATTGCTTGAAACTCAACAGATACATCACATTTATTAGCCAGTAGACATGTGCAAAGTTTCAGAAACGGGCATGGTGCAAGGACTAAATAGCGCCACCTTTTGACAAAAGTGGGGTTGTTAGTTTTATCTACAGTTACAAAAATCGGTATATACAT